CCAGCTGGATGTAACTCCAGATAGATAGATATGGCTGCGCAGCACTGAAATTAGAATAATTTGGAAAGCAGGAGCAGACGCAAAACCTAATTTTCACGAAGTTACTATAAATCCCGTCTTCTAATACATGATTCTGCTTTTAGGACAGTGGTCTCATGACTGGTGTTGGGCGTACACTGATGCCAGCACATCAAAACATCACCAAAACATTTCTCTAATGGAAACGAAACTAAAATTCCAGTGGATGTGCTAAGAGGGATCAGTGATATTGCAGTCACAAACCGTCATGCAGCACTCAAATATGTCACTCTATACTGACTTATTCTAACTGAAAATGGGGAGTCGGTGACATTGCATTTGGATGCCTTCTCAGTTGCACGCTAATTTGATAACCGACTGGTGTGAGGGTATTTTGCTTACAGCACCGACTGTTTTGTGATGGCCAGCGCGGTTGGTTTACCAAGGGGGGCTCCGGGTTGACACTCAACTAAGGAGAGGGACTATGCAATACATCGATTGTTTATTTAACTAGACATTTTTGGCTATGCAAACACGTAAGACTACACCGTTGTATTTCCGCTCGTTGGCTTGCCCTCCACCTCCTGTCAATGACTTCTCTGTCCTTCTGTGCGGATGCAGTTACAGTTAGCCTTCCCTTGTGTATTTCCACCGATTACCCCATTTAGAGAGGTAAAGGATTTCCATTTTAGCCACTTTCGCTTACCACCATCACTACGATGACAAATTACCCCATCCTAAGGTATTAAACTACATGAACACAAATTTACCCGTAGTATTCGCAATAGTGTTGTGGAGAAGATGTCAAGTCACGGAGATGGCGATGAAACCCACGAGGAGACCAAAGAAAGACCAGGGTTGGACTAAGGAAAAAAAAGGAAAACTGTCCGTGTTTAATGGGTTGAGTTCTCTTGAGGATACATGGAGCCCCGATAAACACTCCTGTTTTGTTTCTCTAGAAAGTTCCATGTTCGCGGCTGCTTGTCAAACACACTCGTCCTTCCGAATTGGCTGATATCGCATACAGGTGTACTAAGGCCGAGGTCAAGTAAAAATACCAAATTCGCAGGACTAAAAGCACCGAGCGCCGCCTGCAGCCTCCACTAGACAGCCAACCATGAAATGAATACAGGCTGTACCCGCTCGCTTACTCCCGCCCATCAACAAATGAGGACGTCTAGATCCAAGTCTTCTTCGTCTAATTGGTTCGTTTGAGATCTCGGCAGAATCCAAATTCACTTTCATAACACTAGTTTGGCACAAAATATAAGACATCGGAATGCGGATCATTTGCCGTAAAGAAGGTACCAGAAGAGAAGAAAGAGTAGCAAGGAATGTGGGGGCATACGAAGAACTTCTTTCCTGACTCCAATTGACAGGCTTATAATAGATCACTGGCTCGGCTAGACAGGATGCATAACACGAAAATGAACGTTATTTTTTCTAGTAATAATGTCAAAAATTATGTCAGAATCCCTCTAAAGGGGCAGTTTTTTGTTCAAAAGTCTTGATGCTAATGTTGTGAATGGATTTTTTCTAACCATAGTATTCAATAGACAAAACTTGCATAACCAGGTTCCGGTATCTATGAGCTCGTCTCTTGGGTGAAGAGCTAAATGAATTCGGTCGTCCGCAGACATTGCATAAGATAATAATATTAGTTTGGTGTAATAAGTGGGGATGCTTAAGGTAATATTCTACCTGAAAAAGAGAGGTAGATTTGTAACAGGGATAATTTATCTGTCTGAAGTATCTGGCAACTTCTAAGGTAACCCATGCGACATAAAATTTCTCCCTCCTCATGAGAATTAATTCCATCCTATCTGGCCATCCAACTTCACTGCTACGAGACGTAAACACGGCTGATTTAAAAAATATGGGCATTTATAACCTGTAGACGGAGCATTATGACTTCAGTGGGACTTAATTCAGCAGTAAAATGAGCACAAAATCCCGTTATGAAGAAACAGGGCAAGGCGGCATTTCCACTGAAAACCATTTCAGTAGAATCAAACGGTATCAGGATTTATGATGGAATGTCCTTTATTTATTTATATGTTCTGTTTCTGGATAATCGACTTTATTTAGTGCATGCAACTATGGGGAAGAAATAATCTAGTGGTCCAGTACTACTCATGTTAGGGATTCACAAAATGCTTTTGTTGGAGATTTACAAGTTGACACACCAACGCATCAAACAGACAATTGCAAAGGCTTTAAGAGGAACAGATGAGAGGAATTCACGTCAGTAGAATTGGTGAAATGGCAACTAATTGAAAGCAAGAGCTGTAGCCTCTCAGTTTCACCTGATGATGCGGTAAGATGTTTAAGGCTGTCAGATAGAGACAAGGGGACATTTCATAGGCCCCATGCATCTGCAGTTGCGTCCCCTCCAAACACACACTTGCATTTCACAGGCACATGTTGCAATCACACCTCCCTTCCACCGTGGCGCCATGTCGGCACCCTCTAGTTGCCCAGCTGTGTCCACTGTTCTTAAGTGCCACTTCATTGAGGAGGCCTCATTTTGGCCAGTAGCCCTTTGTGTAACAAATTGTCACGCGGTATCAGGTATGTAGAGGATGTCATGTGCAAACTTAAAGTTCACAGATCGGCTGACCTCGATCCTATATCCTATCCAGGCAGCACATAGATTCGGAGCATCGCTAAGAATGCTGGCCCAGTGTCGGTGAAGACGTAACGACGCAGGCGAGAGGAGTTAAAACGGCCTAGATTGGAGTTATTTTGAAGGTGAAGTTTAGAATCAACATTCAGAGTAGGAGTGTATTTTATAGGCGGTGCAATAAAAAAAAGAGCAAAAGAACTTTAGAGCATTCAGTGGTTAAATTGTTGCATTGTTAATGCCAAAAATATAGCCGTTGGCCACTACCGAACCCACATGCCCTTACCGTGGAATGAATAATGACGAAGTTCAGTGATGCAGGCACAGAGGTGCTTCCAACTCCTCGTCTTCTTAATGGAATGGCCAATCTATTATACAAGATACAGCGTTGTATATATTGGATCAGGCAGAGGTGATAGCATGATGCTTACAAATTCTCAGGCCTTCTTTCTAATAGTGCTGTAAAGTTTGTGCCAGACTTATTCCGCCTAGTAAGGAATCGTCCCTAGTAATTTTGTGAATTCAAAATAAAAAAACCTGGAGCTTATAAATTTTGTAGAGGTGGAACCAAATGGTGGAATGCGTGGTCAAATGAGTTTCCTACAGCGATCGCTGCTACTTAAAGCACGTGAGTAGATAAAATTCCCATTAAGGCGGTTTAATTTTGCCTAAGCTGAGGAATACGAATTTTATTGATAAAAGTTAACTGACACCTAGTTTTGCCTGGATTTGCTCTCCATTCCTATTAGCCCTTAAATATTCCCCACCGTTATCAACATTGCTAAGCAACGTCTGCATCACCGACATTGCCATTGTTATTGTTGCCAAATGAGGTTGCCTTGATCTTCTTGGAATAAGCCTTCCCTTTTCCGCTATACGGATGCTGAGTTACTTAAACTCCAATTATTCTAATAAACGCGCTTTTCTATATCAGTTGTCCCACTACCTGATTCTGTGTCTGACCTTCATGGTGCACTCGATTTAGCGAGATTATCACTGACGACCCAAACCATAATTTTCTACAGGCGATAGTACGCAAGGAAGCGATTCCAGCACGACAAATAAGAAATACTAAGTCACCCAATTTCACAACAATTATATCATGAACGGATTTGAGGAAGTGCAATAAAAGCAAAGAAGTTTCAATAACGCTAATATGAATCTTCGAGCAACATGCATCGGTCCACTTTCCAGAGAGTCTTCAGGCTTATTAGTTTATTAGTACGCAAAAAAGTCACATTTCTGAATACCCTAATCATATATAACTACAAAACTTAGGCGGTATCACTATCGACAGCAAAAAAAGCAAACGCGCAACACTTGGCAGTACCTCATAATGAATTTGGGTTTATTCGCTGTGGTAGAACTAAGCGAAATAGACTACCAGAACTGTCGTGAGTCACGGTATCACTAAAGCTGACCATACCAACCCGTCCATGTACTAACCACACAACCAATGAGTACCTTATCTTAAATGATAAGTGGAAAACACGCTTCAAGCTGGAATATTTTCTAACATTGTAGATATCCTATCCTGTAAAACACGACTGACGAATCACAAATTGGAGGGAAGTAATTGCCACTGGCTGAACACAAATTATTGGACCATTTAGTTTATAAGATTGGTGGCCCTTTGTCGTCGAAACTACATAAATACAATAAACCTACCCTAAATACTGCACACCACTTCTGCCTAATTTTGGCATTAAACCATCGCATCGAGAAGCCTCGTCGGGTCGTAGCACAGCGTATATTCCAGGAGGTTTACCCCATACAGGAAGGCAGTTCTGAATTTGTTGAGACTTGAGCTTTGAAACCCCCACAACGGAGATATTGCAGGCACGCTACCACGAGGCTGGAAGAAATAACTTTCCGGTGACCTAAGTGTAGTAAATCAAAAGTGTATTGTTTTCAAATTAAAGAATTTCTTTTAAAAAGTAAGTTTCTTTGCTTACCCATAAATTTTTAAACAATTAATATCTTGTGAGACATTACAGAACAAGTGCTTGCAATCTTGCCTTTAAAGTGAGATTACCCTTCTGCAAGTTTTACCATAACATAAATAAAATGCACATCTAAAATTGGCAATTATAATCTTTAGTGCATTAGCACACTATCAAATGTCAATTTAAACCTTTCTTCTGCCTCATTCTTCAGTTGTTTTGGCGCTCATTGCGTTGTGCTTCATCACAACAAGTAAGGCATACATATTAACGTTATTTATTCACTCGATATGCTAACTAACACCTTTATTTTGGCATAAAACGGCTCATGTACTAGAATTACATCTAGGTTTATGACAGCTTATTTTTTGCTCCTGTTGCGGCGCACAGTACAAGTATCAGCTGTCTAGGCCAAGATGGCGAATTCAAATAAAGCGAGAGTTCCCCCTGATTTCTCATCAAATCTAGCACAATTGTATCGAAGCGTGTATACATCGGAACCAATACAACTTTTGCCACTGTCGTGGAACTCTAAAGACCGCCTACTTAATGTCAAACTTTCACAATTCGCGTTAACGATAACGTGCACTGCTGACACTTCTGCCTCTCGTCACAGTACATATTGTTTCTTCTTAACCTAAGTTCTTGCTTAGATCCAATTTCAGAGTTGCCTACAGTAAAGGCTGATCATCCTATACCTGTAAGTGCCGGGATATACTACTTCGAGACAACTATTGCTAGCTTTAAGCCAAATTGGTAAGATTGAGTTCTAAATACATTTGGGCTTTAGCACTGTTATGATCGGCGTCGCCTCGAGACGAGCAAGCAAATTTTCAGGTACGTACTCTTTCCTCTTCGCAGTGAGCATTCTACTTCGAGCCAAGTGAAACTAGAGTTCGGTCATTTTAGCTCAAAAGCGCGCTTTTGAAGTTTTGCTTCTTAGATTTTTAGTTGAGTTGAGTAGGCTATAAGCTCTAATCACAGATTGTTTGGTGTTATAGCGTGTCGCCTTTGTTTAACATAATCCCATCCCAATTATTTTTACCCCTTATTTGTATCAGTTTTCGTTGCCACTTCTCGTGTTTTGTTACATTTGTCGTAATATTTTGGTCCTCGACCTGGTGCAGTACTTATTACCAGTTTTTCTCCAACCCTGAACTACAAGTGCCCCCTTTTTTTAGGATGGGATTCTTCCTCTTTCGGTTATCATAGTGATGGCTCACTGTATCACCATACTACTCCAACTCCATTTGGTCCCAAGTTCTGTGAACAAGACATAATCGGTTGTGGAGTGGACCTCATAACCAAGTCACTGTTTTACACTCGAAATGGGGAATTTTTGGGCAAAGCCTTTGAAGGAAAATTACCTGTAAGCGGAAAATTCCATCATTTACACTCTATTTACCTAATCCGTCAATGCTTGGAGCAGGTTCTCGAGACCTATTTTAGCAACCTTACCAACGCTACTGTAGTACTATGTATATTACTCAACCTCTATATAAGTAGCCGGTGGCATAATGTGGCGACTTGGCATGTCTCAAGTCTTTTGGTTTATCATAATGCATTGCCTTTGCAAACACACGCGTTACTTGCCTCATTGTTAGCTGAAGACAATATATTTTAGGTATATTTATGTATTGTTAGGAGTGTATCACGGAGTCCCATCTACTCGGGTTGACTTTGAACCCGATTTTTTCTTATTCTACGTCCGAAATTCCAGCGCCAAATTTTCTAATCCGTGGATGTATCTTAATCTGCATTTCAACCTGTGGTATACGTCATGTAACTATGGTTGAAAGAAGAATGTTTTGTCCACGGTTTTTCACCCACCATTTATCTTCGGTTGGTCTAAATCGTTTGTACCCTCCCCATTCCATTTTCCCTCCTTCAGGTATCAGCCATACCCGACCTCTACCCCGTGATTGCCCTGGACGGACAGGGCTGTCGCGTTACCACAAATTTCGGCGATCAGCCCTTCTTCTACCCCTTCAAACGTCACATTGCCGAGGAACGGGAGGCGCATGAGAATCGACTCATTGGTGCCCTGAGCAAGGATTTTATTGACGTTAAGATGCGAGAGTAAGCAGTCTTAATTGTGGAATCCGACAGCTTATTGCAAATCATTATTTCAACGCATGCCTGTGGGTGTTTGCTTACGGTCATTAAGAAGTTCATGAGTTTTAGTTGACAGCTTTTTCCCCAAAACAGCTGCAACCACCACAAGTGACACGTGTTGTGAGCCGATAACAGCATTTACGTGGCACAGGAAAGGCGTTTTAATAGCAATTTACACCTCATGAATGGATTCGACTGGGCTCAAATTGTGTCCAGTGCTCTCAAGAAAAAACGTCTTAAGCTTACCCTCGCTCATACTTTGTGTACTTACTCTGGCCTTTGGCAACCACAGCCAAATGAAAGCCCTTCAGGTTTGTTGTACTGATAGAAGGGTAGTGAAGTGACACCATTGGGGTGTAATAAATGTATGTATGGTTAATCTGGCGATGTAAATACATTCAATATTGTCATCTGTTTATCTTTATGCACTTTTTTCGATGTGAGGAACATTCGCGCTGCCAACATAACAGAGCGCCTCTTGCTTGTGAAAATTCTAGTGACTTCTTGATTAGCTTGAAATCTATGTGGATGATACGCAATTATCGTTGTTACTTTTTAAAACAGTATCGTTTAAATATTTCTGTACAGAACTAAATAAACTTCTTAACGTGACTGAAAGTTTATGCTGTTTTCGGTGCAGCTCGTTCCATTGACTTGTTTTCACTTGTGGGGCCTTGGAAAATTCATGCAATTGTTTATGTGAATGTATTATAAAGCAGTGGAGAGATGTGGGTCACTTTGTTAGTACAATACTGTTTATTGTACTTTTTCCTATTTCCCTGTTGTTTTGCATTCTCATTATAAGATATCCTTTGAGCGGCTCTAATGAATGCTATTAGAGCATGTCCGCTCTACGAGCCGGGTTTGTATTTGTTCCAGAGCTAGCTGAGGATGTAGAAGTTTCTGACAAGATGTGCTGTATAGCATCCGGAGAAGGTGTGATGGCGGAATATCGCACAGCCCAAAAATAGCCAAAAAGTGGGTTTCGGTTGATGAATCATGCAACAGCAGGCGTATTGTCCTCAGAGAGATCTTCCATTCCTGATAAGAATGGATACCTACCTGTCACTCCTGACGCATCAGACTAACGCATGATTGGCGTGGGTGCTATAAAAACTCCGTGCCTTTGGGACTACCTGCCAGCCGACTTGGGAAGAGAGCTAACACTTGAATTCCAACGTTTGTCAAATGGACGAACGTATCATTTGGCCGTCTTGGGGCGACCCACCTACCACCACGCGCACTCCACTCTTCTGAGGCACGCACCACTTCATACCCAAAAAAACTGATTGCTCTGTGTGCGTGTGTGTGTGTGAATGGTAGACTGCAGGCGCAATCGTTCACGATGCTTTATTCACTTACCGGAGACAGAACCACAGTAGCGCCTGAGATCTCTACGCTTGATACAACTCGAAGACCTGCCAGATAAGGTTCGTCTTCCTCTTCTGCACTTTATAATGGGAGGCAGATATCACCACATCCTCATCTTATACCCTCCATATCCTTTTTTTAGCCTAATTTCAGTGCTCTCATTTTCGTATTCCCTTTCGTGTCCACTTTATCACTCCTTTTTTTGAATTCGGTGTCGGCGGGTGTTACCTTTCCCCTCCTCAGGTCGGATGTTAGCTATTTTTACGATGTTAGCCTAAGTGTTACCAAAATTAACACCCATCCGCACCCACCATTATCACGTTTGTGTGTTACTTCAATCGTCTTACGTGATGTGTGTTTGACTGTTTATGAGTTCTGGTTGCACCAACTTGATTGATTGAGGTTAAAACACCGCAACAGATGCAGGTTATTCTTTTTTTGAAGATGATTCCACTTTCTGGTTCTTGAGTAGCTTGTCTTTAGGCGGAGCGCATCCTTTTTTCAGTGTGGTGGTCGATTTCCTCCCTGTGGTAGGATGCCGTGCTCGCACAGTATCCCAAATCAAAAGTGTTTAATATATCGCCATTTTTACTCCTCTTATTTAAATTACCTCCGTTCTACGCCTCGGCTATGCGACACCATATTCTTAATTAACCAGGTTCTCGGGTAAATCGACACCCAAAGCCATCCAGGTGTTTTATTGTTCTGATATGAAGTCCAACGAACCCATTCAAACGTTACTTAAAGTTTTCAGGCTCCGAACATCCTGTGCCCTTTCTTCGTTGTTTCAGACTCAACAAGTTTCTTAAAAACACGATTTTGTGCTACCATAGTTATCGTAAACTAGTAAAGATGTCACTCGCGTATTTGTGACTCCGGAGTCAGGTGAGAAAGTGGGGACGTCACTTATGAGAGCCTGGTAGCAAATTTCACATCCTCATATTTCTAAGCTCTACCGTGTATGAAAAAGGGTTTAAGATGGTGTCCCTCAAGACGGCCAACCGTTTTCCTTTTTACCCGGACATTAAGGGGATGTAAACGTGCCCATTTGATGTCACCTCTGTTAGGGGACGAAAAGGTCAGCACTTGGTTGAACTTTTAGCAAGTGATTTAATAATGCCATCGCTCATTACAGTCTCACGTTAGCAAAATGAATTCCCGTTTTTTTTTCTTGAAACACTTTCACGGCTCTAGTGGATCCGATCGACCGACCAACTGACCAGTGAAGGTGGGTATCGGTTGTGGTTTGGCTGCAGAAACTGAATACATTATTCATCTTGTGTTCGCTGCCTTTTTTATGTCATGCCCTTCGATCTCTGCAATGCTGTCTTCCCTCCCACCTACTGTTGAGGGCTCAAATGCCTCTCATTTGAGGCTTGTTAACTTTTTTGGCATTACTAAACATTCTTAAATTAACGATGCCTGAATTCTCCCCCATGGAATGCACAAGGAACTGTCTTTATTAAATCCTTGATTAACGTTACACTGAATGAGTTTTAGTGTGTTAGGAGGTTATTTGATCGACAAGCACTTCGGAGTTGCATCAATTACTGAATTGGAGTGTTCGCGGCCTAATTTCCCCATTAATTCAAATCCCCAATCCTAAAACGAGCGGTTTTTTTAAAGCTAAGTTGTTGAATAGTAATTTTTCGGATAAAGTACAATATTGATAAGTTTTTAGTCGTGCATCACACGATTCGCCCCACCAGTGATGGTAAATGTTTTTCTTTGTTGCAAACAACATTCAGAAACCCGTGATCCAGATTCGTACTTTATTTGAGGTCTTCGTACGCCAGCACCAAGAAAATATGGTTGGGTTGCGGTTAACTGTCTGCTCGCCCTAACTTTATTTTGCTCTGACGCGGAGTAATTGTCAGTTTAGATAAACAGACAGAGGTCACGCGGTGGGACTTTGGGTGAGGAGGTCTCGTAATTGCCCTACCCATCCACTTTTTAGTCTGGTCGCTGGCTACCTCGTCCACCACGGCTACATCGACTCGGCACGGGTCTTCTCCCGCTGGACAAGTTTCGGCGAATCGGGCTCCTCGGCAAAGAAGACACGGAATGAGGAGGCGGTGGAGGGGGCTAAGGATAACGCAGACGGGAATGAGGAGACGGAAGAGGAGGCCTCCCTCCCCGGATTTGCTAGCATGCAACATCGTCGCAGTCTGAGAACTTTCTGCCACCGATGTCAGTACGGGCGTGTTGCTAGCACCCTCACCGCCCTGTATCCAAACATTGTGGAACGCTATCCTGAGCTCATTTTACAATTGCGCTGCCGTCAGCTCGTTGAAATGGTTAGTCTTTGCATTAATTTGCGCTGTTGCATGTAAATTTGGAAGTAGAAGCAGAGCTTCATGCAAACGGCCTGGGGGACTCCAGTGACTCCCGTCTTATTTTGAGCTCTCTGTACTCCCTCTTTCATATCAGTCTTTCAATAAGATGATATTATGATATTTTATTTCAATGGGAGAATTTATAGATTTCACGATAGCTGTACAAGGTAACCAAGTAGTTTTGGAAGGCTTCTTACATCCTCTAACTTGAAGCATTCACCATCATAATCTACCATCCCTTCCACTCCTACAAGAAGTTTTGTCTAAAGTAGCAAGCAACCACGCATGGCCCCAGCCACCTCCACTCCGTGTGTGATTGCTCAGGTGGTAAGGATGATGCAATGTCTGCCTCCCATTTCAAAGTGTTAATCTTCTCACCAGCCAATTTTGCAATATGGGGTCTTGCGAATAAGAAGTTCTGACTGCGAATCTGGTGACTTCTTTGAGCTATGTTGAAATGCATCGCTGGCACACCTGTGGTTTGGTCTCCAGTAAATAAATAATTTATTGTAAAAGATTGCGTCTGCGATCACACAAAGCAATCAGTCTTCTGGGTATGGAATAGTGCGTAACTTAGGTGTATGGAGTACCCATAGTGGTAAATGGGTCATTCCGGGACAACCAGCTGACATGTTCATTCACTTGACGTGGGTTAGAATTCCATTGTTAGCTCTCTTGCCAGGTCGACTAGCAGATAGTCTCAAATGCACGGAGTTTTTATAACGCACGTGGTAGATAGGAGGATAGTCTCTGAAGCCTTATCATCATGACTCGAGTGAGACATAATTGAAAACTCTGCCCGATACGTTAATTTCAAGTTATTTTACTACTTCTGGAAGAAGTGTCAATACGCCTGCCTCCTTTCGTTCTCGACAGTGAGTTCGCTTTTCATCGCTGCTTTGACGTTTGTTTTGGTCGCCAAGTGAAATGATGTGCGCAGGTCTTGCCGCGTGGTCCAGAAAATTCCGCTGCGCCTTCGACCTGGTGCGGCACTCAACTCTTCTATGTGGGTCACCAGAGGAGAGTTGTCTCGGCATGCGCTAGCCCTTCGATGTTTCAGATCTTTGTGACAGATTGGGTTCACCATTCTAGTTAGGGTAGATCTGCTTCTCATTTAATTACACTGCGGATTAGTTGTAGGTCGATCAGACGTTCAACTCACTGGTCAATAATCACAGGAATGACTGCTGTAGCTTGAAAGTAACCAGGTGGACATACTATCATCGCAGCTGAGCGCCTCAGCACCGTACTGTGCTGTTTGATGTCTTCTAGAGATGAGTGCGGACGTCCACGCTCTACCGCTTTTGCCTGCAATCTTGATTAACGACATGTGGAGTGACTCACAACATATGCGTCGGTTCTCATGGTTACTAATAGGATCGCGTGTGGTTCCTCCACGACAGCAGTTGGACTTCAAAGCCCCTCGTACATGCATAAATTGTTTCTGCGGTGTCATCGCTTTTAGATGTACCGGCATTCAGAACAACGCTCCAGCCATCCTTTGTCTTCCAGCGACTCCAAACTTCAGCAAACCATGGGAGGCAGTCGCAAACGCCCCTGTACAACGAATACCTCGGCCTGTTGTCGCACCAGTGAATCAGTGCCCACTCTAGCCACCTGCGATGACGACCGGTCCGTGAGCAAGTACCTTCACACTGACAGTCCGCCAGACGTGGATGATCAGGTATTCGCCAGCCTAACTTTTTGTCCGTAAACCTTAATTTAATGCACTTGCTGCTAGTGTTTTAAGTGAAAGTCGGCTACTATGACCCTCGAAATGATCGTTCTTTCTGCACTTCCATAGCATTTTTTTCCACGGCTCGTCCAACCCTGTGGGAATACGCGAGCCCATGCTGTCAGCTAATACTCCGATCATTTTAGAGCCGTCGTTACCTTTGGTAAAAAAAAGGTACCAATTTTGGTCTGTTTGTTAGGCCTCTACTATCCTCAAGTACCTGGAGCGTTTTAGCCCTGAATGAGGGATGACATTCTGCTCTGTTTTGAATATGCAATGCGTCTACTTATTGAGGGAATAACCTGCCTGTCATTCGTAGCAAGAATCGACAAGTCTAGATAGAATGACCAGAACTAGAACGAAGACTTTTTAATGTCTAGCGGTCTTGGTTGAGACGTCAGTCTTTGCTTGTTAGTTTCTAACTCCAATCGACGAATTGGTATTTTTTTGTCCGCGCGTACCCTCATTAACAGGAAGAGCTGGATTGGATGAATACCAGTTCCCTTTTACCTAGCCTGTAAGGGATGAATTAGTTGGACTGAGAGAGCATTATCGTCCTCCCTTTGCTCATTTCTTCCAAGGCTCACTTCCCAAATCCTGGTTCTTCGGCTGCCACCTCCTGTGACGCAATGGACATCGACAGCAGTCTCGCGTTTGAGGCCAATGGTAACCACCCTCCTCACTCCCAGTTCTGTTCCGAGGATCAACAGTTGTATGGAGTGTCAACTGACGCCCCATCCTTTTCTGCTACCGCCACCAATGAGGCAGAACAGCTAATGCCCTGCGAATTGTATGATGACGATGATGATGGCTTTGGCATTACTGGGGATCTCAGTCAACAACATGAGGCCCTGGAACCCATCCCCATGGAGATGGAAAGTGCCGGCAGTGAGTACACTCCTCTTTAGGCCGTGACGATCGAGTGGCGCAAGTGGATGCCCGAAAGGTCCACCCGATACGCCACTTACCTTGACCTTATCGACCACTCTTCCTCATTTAATGCCCGAGGTGGTCGAGTTGAAGTGTCCTAATGTAACGAAGGTTGTGCATCTCGGGTTTGATTGATTCGTTTGTCACGTCCCTTCATTACTGCGCAGTTGTCATTAATCAACGTAATTTTTTATGAACTCATTTTTTCGGATACTCGGAATTGTTTCTCCCACTATTTACATATCTCCATGGTATTATCGCAGGCAGCTCTATGGTTGATACTGTTGAAAAAGAATTACTTTGACAGTTTCAATAATCCTTCTGCTGTAAAGGCGTCACAGATAGCAAGCTATTCCTACCAGGTACCTTCTCCTTCTTCCATAACCTGCTGGAGTAGTATTTAACCAACGAAAATCCAAATTGGTCCGTCTCTGGAATTATCCATGCATAAGTTATCAGACCTACCAACCCACGAAGGTGGGGTGGGTGGAGCTCCATGCTGCCGTTATGAAGGCCAAATTGTGGATGGTTGTTTATTCCACATGTCCAATTAAAGCGAGCCTGGTTCTGCTGCACTTCAGTGTGTTGATTGTGTGTCCATTGCCTCGTATAGACGAATTTGTCATCCAGTCTGTGCGGGAACGAGGGCAGTCTTATTCGGCACTGAACTTTGCGTGTCTTGCCTTGTCTAGTTAACCTGATTTTCTCCCGTATGGGCGGTTTAACATCACGCCACTTTTTGTAGGTGATCGCGCATCAACGCCTGCCTTTACCACCGCTCCTCCAAAAGGCATGGTCTCTCAGAGTTCCTCCTCTCTAGAGGGCAATGCTGAAGAGAAGAATCGTCTCCTACGACAAATCCAATTCAGTCGCTCCTTGGTGGATTTAGCAAAGCAGGTGAAAGATAAATGCGGCTCCCTGTCTCCAGAAACAGAGCATCTTCTGCAAGTGGGTTGTGTTGAAATGCCTTTCGGTGGTGTGACGCTGATGGTGATATTTTGTGTACAATCCCAATACTCTCTTTTGGTGCCTCTTCCTGTTTAGCAATCGGTGAGTTTGATGGCCTACCCTTCGCCCTCGTCCCCTGAGTGTCCCCTGAGGTGCCTTCTTGATCCATCTTGGCGAGATAACATCGCCAGCCTTATCAACAGTGCAATTTTAAGTGAGTTTATTCCTCCTTTTTTGCCACTTTTTTTCCTATTGTCATGTGTTACTTTGGGGATTGTGAAGGTGCTACGTTCGTCTTAATCAGCTTTACTACTAATGCATTCACTTGCATGGTTTATTTTTTGGTAGTACTTTTACTAAACTACGTAATAAGGCATACTGCTGCTGGAGAAGTTCTTTTTGCTAATAAACAAGGGCTGGGAGGCTGTTATTAGGTATGAGCTTTCGGTTCTACCACCAGGCGTTACTAAATTCGCATTCCTTTTTGTTACAGCGCTGTGTGAATCTGTTATGTTTATTTCATGACTTGCCGCCAGCAGTAGCTATTTAAAAGCACCAACTGCTTGAACTAACTTCCTGACTCCTTTTTCCCCAAGTTGTACCTTTATATCAGCGTTTTGCTAATCTTTGTCGTGTGTTCCTCTAATGATTGTGACCTTCGAATGCAATGGTAGTATTGTGGACAAAATTTCGGCCTTACCGAGTTGGTTGATAGGGCTCGGACAATCAGTTTCCTATGCTTACTTGAGGTAAGAGCTCCATCCACTATGTTGCGGAAACCTGTGCTTCCCATCTCATCATTGGGACAGAGATTCTAATTACTCAAACTAACCTGCCCGCTCTTCTTACCAGCGACATTGCTAAGGTTTTTTTAATTCGCCTGCGAGAATTTGTGCGGTTTGCAATCGTATAGGGTCCTACGATGACATCATAACTTGTGGGAACTTTTTACATGACTTTTTTACTACAAGGTGTGGATAGGTATACGTCAGTCTATCGGTATCGCACGCCTCATGTGGACTCTTCGTGTTGCCGAATCTGGCGGATGCCATTCCAGCTCGTCCACTTTGCATAGCGAGTTCGCCTCCGTTGCAGCGCTGCAGAAGCTGCTCACGGAATGTGGTTGACAAGACCTACGCTATTTGACTCTTGTGGTGAATCACTTGAAGGTGAATGCATCACTTTCAAGAACGCCTTCTTCTCTATTGGCAGATAAGAAGGAAGATTTGTGCACCACTGTTGATGTGTTAAAGTGACCCAAGAGCGGCAATGTGAAGAACACATTTCAATTATCTTCACCTTGAGTGATAAAACACTTTGTTCGCGCATATCAGCTATCTAAGTTGTCGAGGCCGCAGCGCAAACGGGTGGTAAAGAATACCACTACTTTTTCCTATTTTAAGCGATCTGTGAATTTGGCAGTGTTTGCTGGCTTCTTTGTTTTGATGGGCAATGGTTTGTATTCCACACTTCCTCTAGCGAACGAACGATCTACTTCTAAGATAGGCACAAGCCAACAGCTAGAAGACTATGCTTACCTTGTATGTGCGTGTGTGTGTGTGGACTTATGACGCAATTATTCACTCGCTAAGAACCTAACCGAAATTATGCCAATGTTTTGTTTATCTACTTCATGCGGTTTGAAGATGTGCAAGAAAAATTGCCCTTTAGAAGCAATGAGAAGAAAGACTTCGCCCTGTGCGTAAATTTCACACCGTTGCATAACTGACTCTCGGGGCGATCTGCGCATTGGGATGAAATGGAAAGATACTGCCTCATCCTCTGTGTTTCTTTGTCCTTTGATTGTTATCATCCTTTTCGGCATCGTAAATGGACCAGAAAATTGGAAACCAGAAATGAGGATGGCTAGGATTGAGTTTTTGTTTCTAGGAGCCGTGATACAGGACCATCTGACATTTGTAATGTAAAATTTGCTAAAAACATGTCTATGCTCTTTCCTTTATACTTTCGCGTAGATGTGTTACCTTCGGATGCCGCTGTTGCGAATAGGACTCCTTTCGTCTCGATCGTTCTTGAAGGTATCACTGAATGGCACACCCGGACGCTGGCTTTCTAATATGGCTGTAGAACTTTTTGTTACCCTTAACTGGTGGACGATTGCGCAGTTGTGTTCCCTCTTTTGTACTGGCTTGCTTATCTGGTTCAGTAGTTGTCACATCTGTAGAGGCCAAGGTATTGTTAAAGGGATTTCCTCTCTCCCTCTCTCCATTGAGAGATTTATTTACCCGTCAGTGCCACCTACTTGTGCAATACGGCTTTCGGTGCCTTTTTTGCGTAATGCACAATCTGTAAAGCCTCTTCTATGTGTTTTCTGGTTGTAATATAGAGCGGATAAGTGGTAGTAATTGCCGTTGCCCCATTTCAATTCAATTCATGTTGTTTGCTGCTCATTTTGCAAACTTTCAGCCGAGGCGCATCATCTTCCACCCCAACCCGCAATAGAACAGGCGTTGTATGCCCTGCAAAAATGCTTTGCCAATCGTGAGTTTCAAGAGGCTCAAATCCTGGGCCACTTCCTTCTCTACCACCTCTCCCCATCCAAATACACCACGGAGATTCGTCTGCAACACACTGCTTCCTCGCCTCCTCCCTCCCAGATCCCGGCAGCATTCCACTCCAGTGAGTCTTCTAACGGACGACAGGAGATGGCCTTACAGACGAATAATAACAACTCCGCGGGAAGCAGTGAGCGCATTCCTAATGGTCGTGCTAGCCCACCGAAACGACACCTCTTCACCCCACCCTCTTCGAACGGTTCCCGAAGGCATTGGCGTCGAAGACATACTCCTGCCGGCAACTCTGGTTCACGCCCCGTTATGCGGTATGCACCTGTGGAGACCCTGCCTTCTTCAGACGAGGACGAGGTAGAGGACATCTCCATGGAGGAGGGGGTACAATTGCATCACCATGAGGAGCTTGAAGATGATCACGAGGAGATCGAGTCATTAGATGAGGAGGCTGAAGTGGAACTGATGACTGCGACGATGGAAGAAGATGGATTCGAGGAGGATGTAGAACAGAATGCTGAAGAAAATGACGATGACGATGACGACGACGAGGATGAAGAAGTGGATGAAGACGAAGAAGAGGATGATGACGATGACGAAGAAGAGGAAGAGGAAGAAGAGGTAGTAGAAAATGAGGCTGAAGAAGAACTCTCTCCTCAAAGGGAGACTTTTAGCTCGTTTTTTACGGAAGGCAGGATCCTTAGACGCACTGGTGGTGAGTGCTCTTTTGGTCACCTTTTTAAGTGTCTGTTAGTCACAGAAATCAAAATTTGTAATCGGACGTCACACTTGGGTATCCTGTGTCAAAAAAGACTCGATTTTCGACATGAGTGTGACTGCATTTCTTTGCGTAGCTCGAGATGACGGCAGTGGTGGACGATCACGTGGATCCACTGGAGCAACGAATTCTGGTCGTCGTGGTGAGTCTTTCGGCGCCTATACCTCCGAGGTCTCTCGTCTACCTGGTACTCGGCCGCGTCGCTACTCCCGCCTCGTTAGTGGTGGCGGCAGCGTTGGTCGCAGCGCCCCGTCTTCAAGATCATCCCGACGAAGCGACAACGCCTCTGCCGGCAACGCCAACAATAATAGCAACAATAATCAGTAGAGTCTTTCTCAACTCCTGTATTATAGCTCGCGTGGATTGTTCTTCCCCTCTCCCGGCATCTAGCAAACCATTCGCCGTTTCCTTACTGATTGTTTGTCCTTCCCCCCCTCCCCATTTTCTCTGCTCACACAAAACCACCACAATTTTGTCCCTCTGCCCTACACTACCACGCTCTTGCTACCTACTACTCATGCTATATGCATATATCGCAATATTTACAACGGGTGGTTCTGCTTTATGGCGGCTGTTGTAGCTGTGTTTGCTTGTATTTCGGGAGTGGTTGTTGTCAAAGCTGTTACGGCTGCCAAAATCACTCGTGATGAAATATAAGTGGAATTTGCAGGGGTCAGGCCATTGTTGCAATAACTTTTCTTCTTTATTCTTGTTCTCCTTTGATGTATTCTAGGCTTTTATCGAAGCTCTTAGATAATCACAGTTATTTTGCATCGGTGGCATAGGTGGTTCGGAGTTTTTGGATTGCCACCGGCAAGAGGTGGAATCGGTTCCGTCTTTTTTTCCGTGCCATTAGGGATGTCTGAAGTGGCTTTTTATTAACTTTGGGAGGATCAGATTTTTTAAATACTGAGTTTGACAGTTTGGAGCTTGTAAATAAAGTGTAAGACTTGCCGGTAAGCATGGGGCAGATAACCCAAGACAAAATCACCCTATGAAGGACTCTGATTGGCTGCTTGCCAGTCCAGCCCTTCTCGTTAGCCAATCACGTTCCAAGGTCGTGTCCCGGCTCGACTAATTTTGCTATGCAGAATCCCAACTGGAGCAAGTATTTCAGTGATTAGGTTTTTAACAGTGTGCCGTTAATGATTCTCCTCTTGTTTTAAGTCTGCTTTTATCCCCTATTAACAGATTGTCCCTCTGGATATGATGTGGTGTTGACTTGTGCATCGTTTGTGTACTTTAGTTATGTCATGTGGATGCTTAGACGGCTTCTCGGATCAAGGCAACTGTTTCGCTTTCACTGGAGGGTAAGCTGTTTTCTAGAACCTTTCAATCCTTGAATATCAGCGATGGAGGCTGCTACACATGCGCCGTTTTCACGAGGGTGTTTGTGTGCCTCGTTCCGATGGGGCTTATCCGCTTTGGATCTTGAGGTGCATAGGTGCCACTTTTACTAGTGTGCTTGTTTATGGGATCTTTGTCCCTGGCAGGATTTAATAATTCCGCGGAACGTCCACCACCAGTGCCAAAGAGATTTGCGAAAATTGTGCCATCTGGAGACCGGGACCACTTTTGGAGAAATGCAGTTTTTACAACCGACACTGAAAAGCCTGGATAGCCCCCTAACTTTGTGAGGTAATCACTTCCGGCAGACATCCCCCTACGCAGCGACTCCGGCCAATGTTTTTTCGGGGATGGGGCCTAGTCAGGGGGACGACTCGCCATCTACCCAAATTCAGCCGTCATGCCGATGCGTCTTAACAACCAGTCGAGCCAGTTAATAGATAAGAGATTTCAGAAGCCCGTATCTCTAAATATTCAAGTCCCTAGGAGTGCCTCTGAAACGCCACACCGCCCCGAAACATGGCGCTAGGACGCCCATTCCCACGCTACCATAATTCAAGTGAGCTTTCCTACCAACTGACGACGCATCGCTTTACCTACAATGCCCACAAAATTCGCCCACAAGGTAGTAAACCTTATTCAACTAGTCGAAGAAATCCGTTTCACCCTTTCCCATTTTACGCTGAGATGCGTTGTAACCTTGGAGGTGGATGACAATTGGCACTATCGTAAAACTTGAACGACGATCACACAGATCTAAATTATGCAATACTCACGCCCTTACCGTTTGCGTTGTTTGACTGACTTGTTTTAGTGCGGCACCCGCGAGCTGATTTACAACAAGAAATTCAGCAGTACGGTGCAAGATTACGATGAAAAGCCCAAGCAGCCGACGAAACCACGAGTGAAGGAATCAAACGAGCAGCACAATCACGACGAGCAACCAGGAGCCTATAACCGGAGTCTATTCGATCCCCGATATCTGGCTGAAGTGTACCGAGAGTTTTACCGTGAACTTGCAAATGCTTATGCTGGATTTGTAAATGGATTCAAAAAGTATAAGTAATTAAAGTGGTACGGAAAGTACTTTCAAGAATGCCTCTGTACCACCAACCGTTTGCAAAAGAGGAGATAGACAAATGGATCAAGCAAATGCATTTATCTGTACACGCAGCACGGAAGGAGTTGCCACTTTTCATCGGGCCTCGAAGACGCTCACTAAGAAAAAAGTAACAATCAGGGTGGGAAAATATGCCATCCTTTTTGCACTCCAAATAAACTTTCCGAACAAGAGAGACCTAGAAATTACTAGGCCAAATTATGTCAACATATTAAAATGAGTAAAAATACCTAGGAAAAGAATTTGAGTTTTGTGAGGATGGATAACCTACTTCTTTTGGACCGCTTTTTGTAGAGAACGCGATGACCGCACTCTAGACATCGTACGAGTTCACGGGGTTTGATCTGGTTTTCCGCCCGGCATTCTAAAACAAAGGAGGCGTATAAATGCATTGCAGCACAATATTCTAGGGTCAGGTTCAATGAAGTCAAATAGAGTTAATGATTCCACAAATCTAACAAGATCAGCTACCACTAAGTACCATGTGTTTGATGCACGCAAGTATTTCCAACGAACGGCAAAAGTGGTGAGATGGAGCAAGACACACTGCTGGAGTGACCTAACTGCGTAACAGCGGCGCCTCAGAGCGAGCACCATTTTTTCACACTGACATTAACAGCCCTCACCTATTAAATACATAGTGACATTAAAGCTAAACATAGGTGGTCGTTTACAGAGGCACGGATACAAAAACGCCCACGCTCTATGCAGTCGATTCACATAAGTTATGAATACATCGGGATTTGATCAATTCTATAGGCGAACAAGCGCACCTCCACATATGTATGTAACTGTGCGTTTCGTCAATGCTCCCGTCGCCGTTGTAGAGTCGTTCGTAGATGGAGTTTCAAAGTTGGTCGACATTACCTAGATAAGGGGAATGCGTAAACCGGCGCACGAACAGCGTGTGGTTCTGCACAAAAATGCACTCATGACTAACTTAGAAGCAAATACAAACAAAAACCTTGTTTCAAAATCATTCCTTACAGATTCAAAAAAAAACTTAGAAATTATTGACTTTAACAGAAATTTTTTTCTTTGACTATATTTAAAAACGCATCTAAATCAATTGCTTCCAAAATTTTGGCTTTTTAGCTTAGGCGTGAAGATACTCTGCACCGAATTAGCAGGATTTGAATAAATGCAAAAATATTTGGTTTTGAGTAAGAATTTTGAGCCGTATACTATTCCGCGACCTTAAGCATAATAACAGTCAAATTAGTTCTCATCTATCTTACATCCAGCTAACCCTCGTCAACACGCTCCCTTTGGCTACTTCCCCATTTGGGTTGAGATTTTCTACCTAGATCGGATGCTGGTGTAGCTCCCCGAGACTTCTCTGGAGGGGTAAGAAGACCTAATGCTAGGGCAGTCCATGCACTATCGGCTAATGGAAGAACGGAGTAAGGCTACGGGCATGGCCCAAAGTCCATTTCGCTCAGAGGTAGTACAAAGGAGGGGCTTTGAGTGCTCGCTAAAGCACAACGAGGAACTAAACAAGTAATCGAGGTATTGCACTGGTCTATCTCAACACCATTAAGACTTATGTAGCGTCTCGAGACTTCCCCGAAGACGAAGGAAGGCACAATACTCGGGCAGAATATATATTCAGTACCGAGGTGTTTGGGCTACTGGCATGGCCCGAAGGCCAACGAGGTACACGAAGGCAAATTCGAAGTACAAAAGTGGCGCCTCAACAATACCGAGGGATAAACCACCTTCGTATTACACTTCAAGTGGTCATTAAATAACAACGGTTTTTTATTGAGCTGTTTTACTTGATCATCTCGCTTATGGCTGCAATGCTCTTGTCCGCAAATAGGTGTTTTAACTATTTAACGGTCTGGCAGAGTACATTTTCCCTTTATTTTGGGGTTTATTGCTCAAACTATTTTATTGTAAATCATTTATAGCCTCCCAATTCTTCCCTCAAGTCGGAGGAGTTATAGAAGCTTGGTGGAAGATACTTTGCTCTTGTGTAGAAGAGCCTAATCTAACGGTATGGCTCGGAAGCCTTTACCAAAATCATAGAACTTCATGAGGCCATTTTGAACATTATAATCGGTAAAGTTCTCCACAAAATTATTATAAATTTTTAAAATGATCCTAATCTGCTACTCCTCGATTTTCCTAATGATGTCAGCTAGTTTAAACCTTGTTTATTTGTCGGGACTAATATACTTGTATCCACCTTTGTAGTACTTTGGTTGCACTTTGATGTCTATTTTGCCTTCGCAGACGTGGCAAATTACACAACTCTCTAGACCTGGCCTAATTATGAGTGCAAAAAAGATTCAGACAACCTGACAAGTAGGCGACATTTTAGGAGAGGCATGCTATCCCCGTGGCGAATAGATTGTGGGCCATGGAACCCATACATAATAAAACTACCCCAATTTATTAATACTTGGAGTTGAAACGAATTTTTGACTAACCATTTAACAATGATTATTTCTCACTTAAGTTACTGAAAAGTGAGGTGATTTTGAGCAGTGGAGATAATTTAAAGTGAGTACGTGGAAACCCAATTTTAATGATTTACTTTGGGAATTTTTGGATAAAAATGTCACCTCAACCATTTCCAGTAATGCTGATCGCTAGATCTCGTTATTTCGATAAAGCCTCCTCCATTGCAAATGCCTTTCTCTTAATTAAGTGCTACATTTGGCTTAACATTTGACATTTACGAAATTAATGTGAGAGGAACGCAGCAATGTGAAGCGCAAATAATTTAGAAGGCTGGAAAATGTCAGGGCAAAGCAGTTAGGGTGGAAGTTATTTAGTCGTCTGCAGGCGGGATAATTAATTTGCAAAGTAACACTTTACTCAAAGGTTTTGTGCCATGATGTATAGAACTCTTAAAAAGTTTTGCTGAATTCTTCAGATTAATCTTCCTTCCTTCCCGTTGTTCTTGTCCAAGCAATTAACACTGACAATAATCCGAAGACTTTGCTGTTTATTATAACCGAGCCCATTTAACTGCTTGTAACTCCCCAAGACTTCACTTGAAGACGAAAGAAGAAACAACACCAGGGGGAGAATATGTATTGTCAATGTGTAGCAGGACTTAGGTGCCACTGGCACGGCCCAGAGGTACAATAGCGGAGCCCCTGTGTGGCCCCTACAATAAAACCGAGAGCTAAACAAACAGTCACACTGCTAGATAGAAAAGCGGCATTTAGGCGCCTTATTGTCATATAAACAAGGCAATGAACTCCAAATCCATTTACCTGCGCTACCAGCGTTTTTTTATGCATTTGATGTACTTTTATATTCTCCACCTCACTAGCACCGAACTACCATTCGCATGGCAATTTAAGAACTGGGTAGAGAACATTCGGTACCTACTTGTACCACCATAATCTACTACCTTGAGGCATACATTTTATTATTCTCGAAAATAGTCAACCTCGCTTAGTTGTATAACGACCTTTTGAGCCTTCAACTCCGAGTCGAATAGCGTATTATGAGTAGCAACTTCCTGGACAAGTTACCAAGCTCTGACAGTAGTTTGTATTTTTCTCCACACTGATTGGGTACTGGTTTACTCAACTTCCACTCATCATTAATGAATTTTTCATTAGTCCATATTCTCGGTCAAGAAGATGCCTAAATTTTGAAACGACACGCTGCCAAAGTTACAACCAGCCAGATAGTCTACTTGCCTGAGCGCACAGCATCACTTTTTACATGTTAGATGATGACCATGCTTAATTTTGACAGTACAAGGACTTGACAGGAATGAAGTGTTTTAGAAACTAAGTGGAATCTCTCACGTGTCCTTGAAAGATCGTGGATAAGCCGATGTACCTCTTAAAATGAGAAAAACAAAACGCTCACGGTGTGAAGGAGTTTGCTTCTCAGCATAGCAAAAATTCACGCGCTACAGTGCTAGCCCATTCAAAGTACTTACCATCACAAAGGACTTTTTTAAATGCCGACCTTCCAACTTTTACACAACACCCCATTTCACTGTTTTGCTCACAAAGCTCAGCACCGCGATTTCTTCAAGACCTGACCTATCGCCTCAATTGATTGGTGTGTAGTACCACCAATTACCTCACTCAATAACGTGCAAGTTGGAAACTTTACAGAAAATGCGTTTTTCCTTTGAGGCGCTTCGCCAATTGGGCTCCAAGCTTGCAGTCGCTGGCTGCACTTTTAACTTAGGTGTAGAGGCTTCAAGGGGCTTTAAGGAAAAAGCATCTTCCTACTGAAGTTTTGAAAGAAAATTCGAGCAATATAAAAGCCTCCATTCAAAGAACTTCAACTTCTCCTTTAGCGTCTGCTTAATAAATACTTTTATTCCACCCTTAAGTGCTATTTTATTTGGTAGTCCAGCTTCTCTCAAATAAAATGTAGACTTTTTAATTGCTATTTTGAGAATTCCTATTAGCTCATTAAAGAAAAATAAAAGCTTTACTCCAGTTTATTATAAAATTACGCCTTCTTGACCTAACCGTTAGTGATTTTGATTCTGGATAAAATCAGGACCAGTTTATGTCACTTCGATAAGAACTTCTGTCAGTTCAGCTGATCATTTTGACTACCTGACATCTGTTAAATCGTTTTACCATGGCAGTTTGGATTTAGACAGCGCTCACTGTGCCCCAGGCACTTGAACATGTGGGTTGATTCCTAACCGTATGTTCAAATGGATAGTCCGTGTCTGATTTCGTCAAGTACACTTGTCCTGTCTGGAACTGAAGCATCCGACTACAAGGTCTGCTTGTTGTCTCCTCCCGTTTTCTTGATTAATTAAGGTTTAAAAGACCCCCGCCTAAAAGTACAAATACCTCAACTACAAAGAGAGATAATAAAAGCTTGACGAGGTCTAGGAAGACCCAAACCCATGCCCTAACACGGCTGCTACGCCAGCTAATGCCTTTGGACAATTTAAAAATAACGCAGGCACAAGTCTAGGCTCCTTCGCAGTGGCTCTTTTTTTCGTATCCTCCTCCTCCGTCCAGTCCATCGCACAGTTCACATTCATGGAGGGGGAGGAGGAGGTTTTTTTCCCGCCCGTCTTCTTTACCTGTAGCTCTCCACTATTTCTCTTAGGTGCACGCTCGTGCATGTCTGCACAAAACGCGACCATTAGCTACTTTTGGCACAAACACACATTAAAAAAAGGATTCGAGATTAAGGAAAAAGACACACACACACACACGCACTTCACTTAACTGGACGGCTGCAAGTCAGTCAATAACAGTCCGTTGAATTCATCCCGATTCATCGGCATCTCCATTAGTCTAATTTTGCCCTTGTTCTATAAGCCGGACAGCTGTTTTCCACCGTCAAGTGGATGTGACATGAAGGGCACAGTTAGCTCGTTTTGATTTATTCCCCAGAGGGTCTATTTACCATACCCCGCGGCCATTGTTCATCCTCATGCATTTGTCTCTTAGGCGGTGGATACCACAAATTCCTTGCGAGATATGGCTCAATGGTTTTACGGAATGCCGTCTATATAGGTTTTCTGTTTAGCTTGACGTGATATTTAGCTTTACATGCCTTCAGTTCCAGTCATTTATGCCGATATTTTATCAACAGTAAAGGCAAATTTGAACTTTTGATTGGGAATGGGGGGCGGGAGGATGCAGAGGCTACATTGATGTGGGATTTAGCAACCGCTTTCCAAAAAACCAACAATCCTGATTTTATTGAATGAATAATGAGACCAAACGTCAAAGAAGACATAATCAACTCTGGATGCATAAAGATGAGACTAACTGGATTAGCGTCCCCTTTGAGAATAGGTCCAATTTCAGGATCCACTCTGTTTCCCTTAACCACTGGAGCACGATTGGAAAGGAAGCTTTCGAAAATGCCTATCATGAATCTATCTATACAGTATCTTACTTGACCAGCACTATGGCAGTGAATTTCCACTACACGGTTCACGGAGAGGGCAAAGGTAACAATTCATCCCAAGTGGAAGGCAGGAGGCATCATTAGCGTGGGGATCAACTACTTCCAGTCCTTTCCGGAGATGTGATGCAGGACTTTTGTTTCTGACTCATGAGTTAGTCTAAAGCACATATTTTTCCTGGGAAAAGACCGGACAAAGAAGAGGGAAGCAACGCAGTAGCTGTCTATAATCGCCTGAGGTTTTAAGCATCATCTAGAAGTTCTATTCTTGTCTTATCTTTCAACAGACAAAGAACTCTTCGAATCATTCATAATTAAGATGCCTGGACCTTAAAACTTTCCTTTTCGTAGGGAAGCGCGCTCGCTGTAGTGGACCAACCCCTTTGCCTTAGCACAAAAGTAGTAAAACGCCACCGTACGGTTGGAAGAGGTCATGTCTCTGGATCTGCCCAAATTTCGAAAAACAGCACTGGCCTCGGGATCAAAAATCTTCTCATCTTAATGACATCCGTTCCTTGTGAGTGGTTGTCTATGCCTATCACACATTTTGGCCGTCATCTTAACCCCGTGTTCTCTGCAAGGCGATTGGAACCTGATGAGACACCGGATATGTAGAGCTTGGAAAAGCGGAAGGTATGTAAATTGAGAGTCCCTAGTACATTGTAGAAAGCCCAAATGACCGGCTGGATACTGCTGAATTAGTAAAAAATTGACAAAGTGGGATAGGTACTAAAGTTTATCCCGCTTTTAGGCAAATGGATCTACAAATACAGACTAGTGTGTGGAATGGACTCGTTGAAGGGTCTCCTCCTCAAAGGGTGCAAAACTCCTGATTTGCAAGAAACACCACTAGAGGCTTCCGCTCCTGACTCTGAATGTAATGGCCGAAACAGAGAAGTGAACGGAAGGCAGCGGGGAGGTGGAGAGTGCCGAGCGGAGTCTCAAAATAAGAAGCCTTATAGATAATTTAACACTGTTTATTTGTGCTTGTAACTACTCCGACTCTTCACTCCGCTCGTCAATGCTGCTCTCTGGCCTCCGTTGTCTTCGTCCACGCTGATTCGGCTGATTGCGACTTCAGCGAAGAATGAACGCAGGTCGCGCATATGGTTAATTGCTGTGTGGAAGAAAGGGAGCTTGGCTTTCTGTAAGTTCTCTCAAAGCGTACAAACTTGATTGAGAACCCTACTTTGTGGGCTGCAGTCAATCAAAGGGAGCCTTGACGATGTATAAGAGGCAGCAAATTAGATAGCAGTTTCGCACTCATAAAATGGCAGCAGCAGCAACATCAAGGTGATATGCTGCAATAAATCACTTTCGCGGCACATTATTTTCAATGTGTTAATGCTTAAATGTGAAAATTTAAACCTGACTTAATGGCCTCCTCACCTAGGTGTGTGCGCATGTGCTTGTGGGTGCTACCTCTTTCACACCTATTCTTCTCTATTTTTCAGCTTCTTCCTTAAAGTATGTTTATATGATAAAATAAATAAACTTGTATGCAATAGCTATTCCAAAGAGTAATTGCTGCAATGCGTGTCCCCTCCCCATTACACAAAGTTGGAAACTATAGTTCTACAAGGCTTTAGCATAGGTGTTGGTTAACCTCGACAATTTCTGCTGCAATGAAAGGATTTTTGTAGTTAATAAGTAGGTTCAATTTTGAATTTTTTGATCCCACAGCTCTGCTTGGAAAAAAGAATAAAACTGTTACTTTGAAGGCTGTACGGCCTTTGCATCTAAAGGCAAATAGTTCTTGGGAAAAGTGAATTTTCGGCTGCCTGGTATCCTCTCTGATGAGAATTGCTGCTCACTTGTAATGATGACTATTCTCAAAGATTTGCAAAATTTTTGGTTATTTTATGTATAATCATTCAATGCATGGCGCTCTGACACTTCCCCAAAGGCGAAAAAGAACAAGACTTGCAAAAAAAAATGTTTTTTTTTACGTACAGAAGGGCTTAAGGGTTGCTGGCATGATCCAGAGGCCAGTCCACTGAGCGGAGGTATAATGGCGGAGCACTTAAATGGTCCGTTACCGAAACCGAGGGTTAAGCGAACAACTAACGTATCACAGAGCCCCTCCCCCCGTTCGACCATCGTCTCCGGCTCTCCCATTGGTCAATCGCCCACGTCGGCAATCTAAACGTGGTCGGTGCTGTAAGGAAACACCCACCAGCCAACAGCGTCAGTCATCGGATTTCCATGCAAATGAGGAGGAACTAGACCACAACGTTACTGATCCCTCCGGCAATGCTAATGAATCTGGAGATTTGTCCTGTTTGGAAACTGTACTAGGGGGACGAGAGAATGCGCTGGTCATTGAGAGTGTTCATCGCTAGTCACCTAAAAGCAGTCATTCAGTAAAAAAGGAGGGGTTTTATGTTTATTTCTCCTTCCCACTTTGCTTTCACTTCTGTGCTACCCAACCATATATATCTGGTTTCCATCCAACTAGTAGGGATATGGAGGAGGCAATTGCATATTCACATAGTTGACATTTTTAAACAGGAGTGGTGGACAGCTCCGTAACGTACCTTTGCATATGATTCACTTCCGCGGCTAGTATCACTTCAGTTATTAATGACTTCCCAGCAGACCACAGGACTGGGATAGACGCCAAGGTTAGACGTCATCTGCAGCCCCTTTGATAAGGGTCGTCGCGTATTCTCCCGTCCGCAGGATTAGCACTTCTCCCTTCCCACTAAGAATTACCACCCAGTAATAGAAAGCTGTGCACTTCTCCTTCAGGATTGGGTCCACTAACCACTGCCGCCAATACAGAGCCCCGTTGCATCCCTAAAAGCAAAAGAAGATAATACCTAAGCGGAGTATGTATTGTCGACATTTAGTAGGGCTTGGGGTTGCTGAAATGACCCAGAGGCCGGATCACCGGGTTAAGCTTTTTATCAAATCCGAGGGTTAAATAAACAGTAAACGCATTGCACCTTATTCTACCTGTACTTCTTTAATCTGGGCTTGAGGCAGAAAAAAATTCTTCATCGGTAGACTTCATGTCTTCTAAAATAGCGGTGTGTGGGTGTGTGGGTGGGTGTGAGATTTGAATCTAATTTCTAAAAATCAGTCAAGGTCAAAACCTCTTGTAAGGCACTAATTTATGCATCAAACGTCTGTTTTACCCAAATGACAGACTGGAGGGTTAGTAAAAATTACAGTGACTACCAGAGGTTCCTCGAAATGCATCTACCTTCTAATTCTACCTCTGAGTGGTGGAACTCGAGATCGAACACTCAAACAGATAAATAGTATTACCCCCTTTCATTCTTTGTGCAAACATCGCATAAAAATTAATGAAAGATAGACCCAGCTCTTGTAAGCATTGTACAAGTCGTCATCTGAAGATCCTATTCAATGGCGCTTTGATCCTTTACTTTGGGAAGTAGATCATGGTGCATTAAAAATGGATGTCTAACGCACAGATTCCCTTTAAAAATTGCTTCCCTGCATTAAAAGATACGCAAAAAAATTTGTTTCAAATCTCTACCGAGCACAAATCGGATCACAGTTTCGTTAAAGCCTCGTTAAATAAAAAACGCGGTCGCTACCAGCAATTTTTTTTAAGCATACAACAAATTTAACACCATGTATAATGCGAAAGTCCGCTGGCTTGGCCGGTATTCACGCTGGTGGTTCCGAGGTGTCCTCATTTTTTGTGCTAACAATGGCCTTTATCACCACCTACATTCGTTTTGATTTGGTTTATTCTTTTGTAAAAAATTGCAGCATATGATTTTTTCAAAAAACTAAAGATTGTTTATGAAGGTTAGCTTTCCACAATGATAAGTAAAATGTGTTGACGTTGGTTTCGGGGCTAGCATCTAATATCCCTCAACTAAGGAGAGTTAGCTTTGCATGTTTACCTACAATGCGGAATTTTTTCAATAAATAGAGAGATACACAGTAGATAATAACTTTGATAGCAACACTCGTAGTCTCCTTAAAGACTTTTAAAAGCAGAAATGTCAAGATCAGATCTCTAACTCAAGCAGCACGATGATCCAAGAGGCTGGGGGAGCAACCCAACAATCTCAACAAGCTTTGCTCAATTACATATTTTAAAAATTTGTATTTTTGGTTTCTGAGTTCTTTGCTTCTACTTTTTGACTGCTCTAAACTTCTTTCCCATGTTTGAATTCTCATAAAAGACGCTGGGAACGCCATTCTATGAGCGCCTTCAAAACAGTTTAGGCCCTACTTATCAATCACCCAGCTAGTTTACTCAAATGAGCAAGCCCTTCCTTACGATGGGCTTTGGTTACAATTTGTTTTACAAAGTAATGATACAACCTTGACATTGGTAATTGGTTAATTCTTCCTTTAATTCTTAGCTTTGGTAGTAGGCTAATCAAGGGCTCCACTATTGCTCCTAAGTCAGACGGCCTGGACTTCGGATTGTGCCAGTAGCCCCATGCCCTTCTGTAGGTCAACAATGCATGATCAGTTTGAGTACTTTATCTTTCAGGGATGTCTCGGGGTCCCACCTTGATGGCAGCGGTAAACTAACCCCATCTCAAAGGAAAACTATCCTGATTTTTTCTGCAGGGCAATGAACCTTAGCGGAGTGGAAGAGGTGCATTTGCAGCGGATAGGAGAATCAGTGAAGACCCCTAACTGAAGGGCTAAAAATGACGTCTACCTTTGGCAACTGTCACAGTCCCGTAGTCTGCAGGAAAGCCATTGACAAGTGAAGCAATGCCAGCCGCAAACCATGTGGAAATGTTCGTTACGGAGCTGTCTACCGTTCCTGTTTAAAGAAATCAGTTACGAGAACCCTTGGTGCCTCCTCCACTTCTCTACTAGCTTTGTAGAACTCAGATAGAGATGGCTGGGCTGCAATCAAGTGTAAACAAAGTGGCAGGGAGGAATGGCGGCAAAACTCCACACCCACAGAACTCTCTTAGATCCTGTCCCTTGGTACTTGAATCTGCTTTTAGGACAGTGATTCTACGACTAGCGATGGACTTGCATGATGGCTGGCGTAATCCAGCTTTCAAATAGGATGAAAATCCAGATCCAGTGGGTTGGTCAAGAAGTATCAGTGGCGTTGCGGTCAAGTATCTTCTCATTTGCATGGAATTTCGATGAATGTCAAGGTTGTCTGGTGAGTGTGTCCTTACAGTACCAATAGCGTCGTGATTGTTGGCGCAGGTTCTTGCCCAAGAGGGAACGCCGAGGACTACGCTCGAAAGAGGAGAGGGGCTACGTACTACACTGGTTGTTTGTTTAACTCTCGGCTTGGTAATGAACCACTTAGGTGCTCCGCTACTGTACCTCCGCTGGGAGGTCTGGCCTTCAGGTTGGGCCAGTAGCTCCCATCCTTACTCCTCCTCAACAATGCATATCCTTTCCCATTCAGAGTATTCTTAGAGTGTTACCCGTTCTTTCGATAGAGGTAAGTTATGATCGGGTGTTTGCGATTACCTTCCACTGTGCTATAGTTGCTATCGTCCAACTACAAGGCCTATAACTCTTTGGGTGTAACCTAATGGACAAAAATGGATTCAAAGCTTCCTTTATTAGGTCTTATTCAGTTGCATTCTGTGCGTGGTGTCTTGAATTCCCGCGGAGGAGCAAAGCAATGACCAGGCAAATTACCTGTCTGATACCCAAAAGGTGAGAAGATACAGTGGTACCTGCACAGATGAAGAGGAAGACAAATAAGACCAAAAAGAAGTAGAAAAAGAAGGCAATTTAACCCTCTTCCAACATCGCCGTCATCTTTACCGTCAAAGGGGACGATATTCTTGACCAAAGGGTAAGCAATGGGGAAAGAAAGGACAAAACCACCCTGACAACTTACTACTCTAAGCAGGTGATTTTCAAAGGCTACCTGCTGCTCATACGAATGTGAAATTTGGTTACTTAGGCTAAATTAGCTGGTGTTTTATTACAATGAACTTAACTGACGCAATTAATTTTCTATTCCAATGACAACAGTGTAATCAATGGAATCTCCGAGTGGTTGGAGTAGCACACAACATGATTTACGGATTATTGCTTGTTTATAAAATTTTATGCTTCAATTGTTCCCACAATGCGAGGTTATTGATGAGAAGTGGATCTGTCAAAAGCGGTGAGCAAAAAATTTTCACAGTTCTTCCGAGAGGTCTGCCGGATTACCTATCCACTCCGTTTGACCCGTGTTTCTTGCGCAATCAAACGTCGGGGGTGTAAGCAACTGATTGCAGATTCAAAATTTTAGGTGATTTAGTAGATTTTTTTCCTACTCTTAACCTCTTTTTGTCCAAAAGAGCCTTCTTATTTTTTATTTTCATCTTACCATGGTTTTCACCCCAGAAACCAGTATGCCTTGATCCTCCTTTTTAACTTGGTGGTTTGAACTTTCTGCGCCCTACTGATCTAAGAAACTGTAATAATTTAAGATTTTTTTAGACACTTTAGGGATTATTTGCTTATTTTTGTGTCATTTCTACATTATTTTTGCCATTGAGGGAGAGGAGGAGAGGTAGGGAAGGAGCAAGAGCAAAACGGAAATTCCCATCCACAAATTTTTTCAAAAGCAAAAAGCATACACTTAAAATCAATTTTAAAGTGGACAGCAGCTTAAATTACCTAAAGGAGCAATTTTGGTTTGAGAAATGGACAATTTTGGGGTTTTGCGCTTCATAATAATCCTACGGAGGAGCTGAGACCAAACCTACAACCTGAGTTACATACCACTGCCCAGAGAGTAACTCGTGAAACGAATAAAAAATTAAGCGAAGTTTGAACAGGTTTTTCCAAACACGTTTATCTGCAGCATCTCAAGACTTCCATGTGGACGGAAAACGACACTAAACTCGGGCAGAATATACATTGCCAACGTACAGCAGGACTTGAGAGCTACCGGCGTCGCTCGGAGGCTAGGCAGCCCAGCGAAGGTACAAGAGCGAAGAACTTAAGTGGCCCCTCTACTAAAACCTCTTTTGAGCGTCGTCTACGGTGATACCCTTAGTCAACCTCCTATCACAGCCATCGCATCGTAATCGGTGCTGTAAGGGCTAGTTGTCGCAGTTCCATACAATGATGAAGAAGCTCGACAGCAAAGTCACCGATCTCTAGAGGCAATTCTACTGGATCCGGAGTTTCGTCCTATTTAAGAACTGTATTGTGGAAAGGGGGTTTGTGCTAGCCATCACTCGTGCCCATTGCTAGTCTTAGGAACGCTTTCCCAAAAGTATGTTCAAGTGCCAAGGAAAGGGATCAAACCTCTTTCGGTGAGTGTGGAATTTCGAGTCTTTCTCCTTGCCACGCAGTTTACACTTCAGAGCAGTCCAGCCATATCTATTTGGATTCCATCTAGCCACCAGAAAAGTAGAGGAGGCACTGTAATTTCACATAATTGATATCTTCATGCAGGAACGATAGTTTCGCAGCGAACCCTTACAGATGGTTCACGATCATGGTTAGTGTCGCTTCAGTTGTGAATAGCTTTCATGTGGGCCACAGGACTGGAGTAGTTGCTGAAGGTGAACGTCATATTCGGCACTTATACTAAGGGTTATTACTTCTCTCAGCATATACACTTCTTCCCCACCACCCCGCCGCCAATTTCATAGCCCACTAGCGGAAATCAGGATAGTTGTCCTTTAAGATTGGGTTCGCTTTCCGTTGAAACAAATGTAGCGCTTCAAGGCTAACCCAAAGGCAAAAGAAGACAATGCTCTTGCACCATAAGTATTGTCTACGTACAGTAGGGCTTAGTGCTACTGGCAGCCCGGAGTGTAGGCTGCTCGGTGGAAGTACACTGGTGGAGCCCCTACGCGGTCCCTTTACTAAAACCGAGAGTTAAAAAAGCGACCAATGTGTAACTTTTTTAAACCTCAGCAAGTGTTTTCTAAGGCCTTAGGTTTGGAAGTACATCCCCTCCGTATATCTCTGTGAATGTGTGTTAGCTACTTCGGTAAATCTTGACGTTTTTTACCGGCTAGCCCCAACACGAAATGCAGTCATGTCAGATTAGGCAAAAGGCATGGAGAGAGCCAGGCAGCCAGGGCGTCAATACAATCCCTGCGTCCTAAATGATGGACCGAGCTGGGGGTTCGGGACGTTGCGCGCTAATGGCGGTCGTAGCTGCTTTAGGCATAGGCTTGTCGCGGCACCCGAAGGCTTCATTTCTACACTAACTTTGGGGATTAAGCAGCATGCTATAACCATGTTTAACATTCTGACTGGTCAGTGCATCAGTTCAGTCGCTTAACTCAACTTCAAAATCACCTAGCAGGAAAGGGATGCTTCGGTGGAGATAGCAGGCATGTCCGCACATGTCGCTAGCCAATAGGCTTTGAGCTTCGACATCATTAATCAAGCTGCTGTCAGGATGGAATGTGCTGCGGTGAGGGAAGGCGTACAAGGCTCAGCTACTTGTATCTACAGAAGACTCGCAACTCCTCGGAAGTAAGGCATCTACTTGGGTGACGTTAAAGCCTTCAAGATGACCGCATGTATGTACGTCGGTGACAATCCAGGCACTAGATCTAGCCAGCACATGGCATAAAATTGTACAACAGACCACTTTACCTGTGGCAACGGTGAATATTTGCAATTTCTAGAAGTTAGCACACTTTCCAGGTGTCCTAAAATGGTACTGACAAACCCTCCTGTACCCCGAATCTGTTATGCAGGTAATTGTTAACCACCGAGATGAATGTACAAGCGTACCTTATAGTGTATTTTTTACTAGACATTAATTAAAAAATAAATAAATAAGTGATGAGTTGTGGTTAGGTGTTGCGAAGACGGAGGAGGAGGAAATGATCGCCTCTTACGTGGGTCTTGTATTTTCCCATTAAACCTACAATCACCGTAAGGTGTGTAAAAGGTCACACACAACACCAGCAGTCATTGCTGCACATCATACGTAGCAGATAGCATTAAGGATCCAATTTGTCAGGGATCATTCATAATCCCCACAGTGGTTGGCCTTTCCAAACACGTCTGTAGCATAACTCCGTCCGCTATCGTCGCCTGTGTTGAAAGTCTAATTCACTGCATGGATATACTTTGACTTGCAAAAGAAAAAAAAACCATTTAGTAATTCTACTGCTTTTATTTAGTGGTTTTACGAATCTATTTTGGATGTGATTATAGGTGTTATCAGGCTATCTGCATATCCCCTAATCCTTTTCATCCACGTAAATGCGCAATAAAGTTATGGATGAGAATTCCACAACTGGATTTTAATGCTTGATAAGGCGAATTTGGTGGAAACATGGGTTTGAAGGTGACATAAATACCCATAATCTCTATTGTTTGTCTATCTGCGGGGGATTTAACCAATGCCGGCTCCTGGATGTTGGCGATTCCATGGATCCGAATTCCTGAAGCACAATATTTTGTAATATATTAGATGTTTGCCTGATTCTCGGTTTTGGTGTTGCAGGTGGGCTGGTCCCCGGGCCATCCCGGTAGCCCAGAGTCCTACTGTATGCGGACAATACATGTTCCGCCCGAGAATTGTGTCTTCTTTCAAGTTCGGGGTGGTCTCAGGTGGCTACATTAGCGCCAACGGAAAGCAAACCCGATTCTAAAGGACTTCGACCCTGATTGCTACTGCTAGGTGATAAACTTTGGCGAGGCAGAAGAAGTGCATATGCTGTGGATGAGGAGATCTGCGGCAACCCCAAACAGAAGGTGTGAAAATGATATCCACCATCAGCAACTACCCCCGTCCCGTGGTGTGCAGGTAAGCTATTAACAACGGAAGCAACGCTAGTCCTTTGACTATATGGAAAAGTTTGT